TGTATGTATGGATTGTGATGAGAATTGTACGAGCCCCCAATAAAATAAAATAAAAAATCGGGGAATAAGGCAAAAATTGTCCATATTCAAATTACCTTTAAATTAATTTAAAACCCCTCAGACAGGTACCGCTTTGAATATGCAAATGATTGGCTTGATAAATTCCACTCAGTTCATTTTTCCCACAGAATCGCTAATTTGAATACAGAAGCAAACTGAACCAAAATAAAAATCCTTGAACTCTACATGCTCTCAGCATAGTGAAATGCTCACAGGGACAGCAGACTTATTTTCCTGGTTACACAGTGGAATATGGGCAGACTCTCCTCATTATTTATTACTTCATCTTTCTCTAGGTCCAAAATTTCTTATTCACCTAAGTTAAATAAACAGCAATTCTTATTAGGTAGATGGGTTGCTATAGCTACAATTCAATAAGGAACATGCCAATCATTTTGGTATGTAGCGCCTGCTCTGACTAGCTTCTTTGTTGGGCAACAGTGAAAGTTAAGGATGGCTAAGTGAAGTGTGGTGCAGGAAAGGCTCAATTTCTAATAAGGGAGAATCCTTGATCTTCCTTAAGTGAACTGGACAGTGGAAAATCTACAGGTGATTAAGCCAGCAAGAAGATAATTATAGTAAAAAAGATTAAAGATCGAAGATCCCACATATAATATGCAATTCTTACAAGACAGGTAATTAAGTCATGAAGCAGTAAGCATAGCACCCTCATCTGAAGATTATAGTGGCTCACCTACCTGGCCGTAGAATGGGATGCAGAATGTGAGGGGGTGGGGGGAAAAGAGAAACTTGTGGGGTGGAGGAGAGCAAGACACATTGGCTGCAATATATATGATCAAGAATCATAAGGCATTTGCTTAATTTTTTACTTCTTAGGCAGGGGACCATTACTGTAGGTGGGAGTTCAAGAGTAACGTGATAATGAGATATGCTTGGTAGTTAACCAGCTATGAAGCAAGAATGTAAGATTTTCTTCTTCATTTTCCTTAAGCACAATGAGAAGGGAACAGGTATTGGCGGAGAGGGGTGTCCTGACTCAGTAATGTTGAAATAAAGCTGCCCCTTCTTTCCATTTTTATTATCGTGGTTTCCGTGACTCTGTCAAGTGACAGTAACCCACCTTAAGCATTATTCACAAAAGTCTACAGCAATTTAACCCTCATTTACAGAAAGGCTTCCATTGCTTGAACAAATGGTCAATTAAAAAAGATGAGAAGACAACACACTGCTTAAACTTTAGACTTTACCAAAGTCACCCCAATTTAGTTTAAATATATGAGAAAGACAAAATGAAACTTCAGTATTCCCAATCTTGGCAGCTCAAAAATATTAGGTGAAGAGTTATTTTATAAAATTAAAATAAAGATAAACAAAGGAGAAAAATTTTTTTTAAAAAATCACCTTTACCTTTTGGTGATAGTAATAATGTATCTGTACTGCTACTCATTTTAAAACATGAATTAACAAATATGTCAGAGAAGTATTGTTATTATTTACAAGCCAAAAAGGGTGTTACAAACAAATAAAGCCAAAGGCAGGTGGATGAAACCCACTAAGAGGTAACTCAGAAGACACACCTGATGATCAGCTTCCTAAAGTTCATCCTTAGAAACCCCATGGGGCGTTCTACTGAGCCCATATGAGGTCACCCTGAGTCAGAATCACCTCCACAGCCACTAACAACAGAAACACAACATGTAACAGTATGTAAACTTTCTACTCCTTCAAGATCACAATTTAAGCACGCATAAAACCTCTCCCAATTATGTGCTGTGTGATCAGGAGGTATCAATTATTTTCCTTAGTCACCAGGATTTAAAAAACTCTCAAGATACACTGGAAGCAGGACTCCTGAGTTCTACTTTCCACCTGTTATTCATCAACAAGAACAAGTCAATTTAGTTTAGATGATATATTCTACAGAGACTAGCTTCAACCCTTAATCTCCTGTGCCTTGCTAAGTTCTAGAACCACCAACGTCACCTTATAAATTGTTCTTATCACCAAACTCACTCCAGTGCTGGGTGAGTATGACTTATAGCACCCTATGGGACAGAGTAGAAATGGTTTCCAATGTGGGACAGAAGCAGTATTTACAGAAACAGGCTGCCACATCTTCTCCCATGTAGCAGGTAGGTTTGAACCACTGATCTTTCCATTGGCAGTCAAGCACTTGGGAGTGCTCACTAAATACAGTTTCTGTGTGCTTGTTAGTCCTCCCTTTCACTATTGTATTCTCCCTTTCACTATTGTATTCTCAGCACTTGTTGCTAGTTGCCGTCTTGACAGTTCCAACCCAGAGCCACCCTTCAACGGTTCCTCTGGCTGCGCCCATTGCTGTAGCCCCGGTTTCAATCCAGCACTCAGTCCAATACTTTCACATATACCAACCTACCAAAACCCCAATCCACTGCCATCAGGTTGATTCTGACTCAGAGACACTAACTTTTTTTTTTTATTAAACATTTTATTAGGGGCTCATACAACTGTTATCGCAATCCATACACACATCAATTGTGTAAAGCGCATTTGTACATCATTCTCAAAACGAGACACTAACTTTCAGACAGTTCTATCTTAGGGTTTCGAAGGTTGTGAGTCTTTACAGAAGCCAACCACAACACCGTACTCCACTGGAGCTGGAGGTGCGTTTAAACTGTCCAGTGCGTAAACACTGTGTCACCAGGTCTCTGAAGTTAAACAGAGTGGTTAACCCAATATGTGTACTAATCCGAGCCTAGTCCACCTTAACTACAAAAAGAGCAAATTGTTTCGAGAGCAAATGTTTTAAGAATGATGAGGATGAGAGCAATGAGCATACAAATGTGCTTGACACAATGGATGTATGTATGGATTGTGATAAGAATTGTATGAGCCCCCAATAAAATAATTTAAAAAAAGAGAAAAGGCTTGTTTCACCAAAACAATGAGAAGATAGATGCCAAGCCGTGTGTGACAGAAACCTAAGAGAACACTTGAGGTAGGCTGAAGAACCCTAAAAAATAACTAGGTCAGGTTAGCAAAAGGCTAAAAAGGTCCCATCCCACACAGCAAGAAAAGAGCTAATGATTGACGTCATACAAGTCAACCCACTTTCAATCCTTGATGGGGAGAAATACAGGTTTTTTTCAACTTAATTTGCTCAACTTGAAAGTTTTTCTTAAAACACTGACGTTTGTTAATACTTATCATGTAAAAAATCTATGAACATAGAGGAAACTTTGGAAACAATCATACTTGGTGGCTTGATCGAAGTGCCTCACCTTCTCCCTGTCACCGAGTTGATTCCGACTCAGATCAACCCTGTATAGTTTCCGAGGCTTGGTAAATCTTCCTCCCACTGAGTAGTGGATGGGTTTGAACCTCAGACCTTGCAATTCGCAGGCCGGGACGTAACTTAAAAGCATCACCTGGGCTTCTTTGCGTGAAGTGCCTAAAGGAATATTTTTGGAGTGAGCACAGGTGGCCAAGCTTGTGGACTCATTACTGTGATTTTTATTCTGCATATATTTCACAGTTATGTGCTTTAGGAGGTACTTCCCCCCGATTTGTATAACGAAATTTAAATATAGCACTATTTCAGCATTCCTTCCTCCTCCCTGTCATATTAAATAATGAATTTTAAAAATCATTTTATTGGGACTTGTACAATTCTTATCACAATCCATACATACATCCATTGTGTCAAGCACATTTGTACATTTGTTGCCATCATCATTCTCAAAACATTTGCTTTCTATTTGAGCCCTTAATATCAGCCCCTCATTTTCCTTCCTCCCTCCCCGCAAATAATGCATTTTTAAAAAGCAAGAGAAAAAGTAAAACACCATGATTTCTGGATACTAAGTCATCTATATATAAAATACTTGGAAAAAGATAATACCTGAGAACTCTTTAAACTTCCCCATTTGTGGGTGATACTTAAAAGTTTTTCTAAGTTGTGAAATGCCAAGATCTAACCAGGGTTCACTGGGCAACGAATGACTTAAGAAAATGTCAAGGAAAGGGAAGAATAAAGCCAAACTTCCTTTACAGACCTACAAAACTGAATGCATTCTGAAGAGCACCAAGCGTGAGCTTCGTATCTTACCTGTGCCACCACACAGCGGCGTGCCAAGGATTGTGGGTTGTAGGTGTGCCTAGAAACTGTAACATCCCACTATGCGTTCCCTCCTGTTTATCCCAGTGTGCCATCAAAATTACCGTATTTTTACATGTGCACATAAAGGAGGAATAGTTCTAAAAATAGTGGCCACATAAATTTTGGAATTGCCCAAACTAAGGTCAGTCAGGTACTGTTGGGGGTGTGTGGGGGAGACTGTACAGAGGTTCTTTTCCCTGTGTATATAAAAGTTACATTTACACTATATTATAGGAGCATGGTGGCATAATGGGTTACACATTGGGCTGTTAGCTGCAAAGCCATAGTTTGCCTCCACCAGTGGCTCCCAGAAAAGTTTAAAATTTTGGCGACACTAAAGGGTAATTCTATCTTGTTTCCTAAGTCAGAACCAACTAGATGGCAGTGAGTTCGGCTTTCTGGTAGTCTATTTAAGTGTGCAACAGCAGTATGAAAAGTTTGAAATATTGTACCAAAACACGAGAGAGAAAAATGAGCACAGGCTGTAGTAAAAACCAGCACCCAGGGACTTGCTCCACACAGGCTGTCTCACAACTTCAACCTGTAAAAGAAACACATGACCTGCAAAATGTAGTAAAATGAAATCCAGTAAAATGAGGCCTGCCTATGGCTCCTAAAAATACTCTCTACCATTCAGATCCTTGGAGCATTAAAAAAAAAAACTATGGAGGAGATGCACACAGAAAGTCTAAACAGTGCTGTCAAATAGAACTGTCTGCTGTGACCTACAACAGAACTCATTTGCCACAAGTGGTTACCGAGCATTGGAATTATGGCTAGTGAAACCAAGAAATTAACTTTTAATTTTTGTTCACTGTAATTTAAATGGCCACGCATGGCTTGAGTCTACCATACTGGGCTGCATAGGTCTTCAATATTACGGATTAGACACTGACTTTTACTACACACACAAGAATGATGGAGCTAAGAGAAACATACATGTTTTCACAATATACAGAGGCATCTCTACCTGCAGGAGATATGTTCCAAGAATCCCAGCAGATGTCTGAAACCAAACAGTGCAACCCTGTATATGTTGTTTTCCTACACAGTACAGTACATATAGGAGAGATACTCAGCATGCCCCAGACGGGCAGCAACTCTCCAACAGAGTTACTAGGAGGAAGCCCGCTCTCTGGCACGGTTCATTACTCTACTAGAATAGTTAACAATTTAAATATTTTTGGACTGGAGGGTGGGGTGGAAAGGGGGACCGATTACAAGGATCTCCATATAACCTCCTCCCTGGGGGATAGACAACAGAAAAATGGGTGAAGGGAGACATCAAACAGTGTAAGATATGACAGAATAATAATAATTTATAAATGTACAAATGTGCTTGACACAATGGATGCATGTATGGGTTGTTAAGAGTTGCATGAGCCCCAATAAATTTTTTAAAAAGTATAGATTATTATTTTCATATCGTACGTCTGCTGTCTCCCTTTACCCATATTTCTGTTGTTCGTCACCTTGGTGGGGGTGTATGTATGTATAGATTGTGATAAGAGATGTACAAGCTTCCAATAAAATGATTTAAAAATATATTTTTGGACTATGGATATTGAAAGGGACCTTGGTGGCACAGTGGGTTACTCGTGAGGCTGCTAACTACGAAGTTGGAGGTTTAAACCCACCAGAGGCTCTGAGAGTGGAATCCAGTAGATTTACAGTCTGGGAAATCTTAAGTGGCTCTATTCTGTTCTGCAGGATCACTATCAGCAAGAATCAATTATGAATAATTAGAAAGGGGAATACTGTGCTCTGGGTAAAATAAACAACCACCTTACACAAATACATTGTGCTGTCCTGAAGAATATGCCAATACCAGGTAGGTTTCATAAAATGTTATATTCTCTTATGTTGTCACTGTTGCTAGGTACTGTTCCAACCCATAGCAACCCTACATACAACAGAATGAAACCCTGGCCAGTCCGACTTCATGCTGAGAACTGTTGCTGTGTTTGAGCACAGTGGAGCCACTGTATGAAACAGTCTGCACTGTAGTGGCTCGTGTGTTGCCAGTATTTTAAATACCAAGCAGGGTCACCTGAGTGAACAGGTTTCAACGGAGCTTCCAGACTAGATACAGCCTGTGAAAAATAGGCCGCCCACCTTAGGAAACCTCAGGAAGATTCCTACAAAGTACTTTCAAAACAACTAACAGGAGCTCCAAGTATTTGTAAACATTGTGCTCTGAAGGTGAAAGCAGCTATGCCTGCTACACCTGCTTTAGAAGGAGCCCTAGTGGACCTGTGTGTTAAGCACTCGTTGGCTACAAGATTGGCAGTTAAGGCCACCAGCTTCTCTCTGAGAGAAAGATGAGATCAGGCTGGCTGGCTGATTCTCAGCAACCGTAAGTAGCAGCCCTCTACTCTGTCCTATAGGATTGCTATGAGTTGTAATCAACTTGATGGTACCGAGTTTCCCAAGCGTCAAAAAAACATTAGCACTACTATCATAAGCATTAATTCCGAACTAGAGCTAAGGCCTAGTTATGATCTTACAAACCAATAATGAAAATAAGACAATAAAACCATATTTAAAGGGGAATTGTATCTTTGCTATGGCAACAATATTATTTTATAAAAAAAACTGCCTATATCAATCTTACTGAAGTACTCCCTGATATAGCTACTATAAAAGCGAACTGCACCCCCCCCAGAACATTAATCAATTGTCTTACTCTCTTAATACACAGTAATGGCACGCTCTGCTATTTGGTAAATATTAGCTCAGACAGTTGCAAAATTTTAAGTCAATAATCAAAACAATAATATATATAATTTATTACAAAACAAATTCCCCACCCCACCCCAGTTCCTCCGTAAGTGTCAAAACCTGGGCTTGGCCTAAGAGGTAGAAATGGGAGTAGGGGCAGCAGAGTAAGGACATCCACTGTACCGGTCTAGTTTTACTCTGTTGGGCACACCGTGCCAACATTTTCTTTCCCCTTCCTGTCTCCTACCTCCAGTTGCTTCTCATGTGCCACAATAAAAATTGTGCAGGACACAAGCATACATAAATAAAAAAATACTAAAAACTCTTTAATATAAAAATCACACAAGCGAAAATTTTAAAATGGCATGTAAAATGGTAGTAATTTACAGTAAGTACTTTATAATGATAATAAGTTAAAACTATTAGCGCTAACATTCTTTAACTAATCCAGTTCTTGTGTTGTCAAACATTTTATAGGATTACTCATTGTAATTCCATTTGAGGACTCCGTCTCAGATAAATATTTTAAACAAACCAATCAGAATTAGTACTGCCTCGGAAAAACTGTATTATCTATTATTATGTAATAAAAGATTGAAACTATTTCAAATAAAAAAGAATGAAGAAATAGGAAAACAACCGCTAGTATATAGGTTAGTAAAGGAGGGCCTCCTGCCCGTTTCTGTAAATAAAGTTCTATGGGAAGCCAGCCACACTCAGTGGTATTGCCTCTGGCTGCTTTCACTCCAGACAGGGCTGATGAGTTGGGACAGACTGCAAACATTATGTCGTCCATTACCAAGAGAGCCGCTAATGTCATGTTAGTATAGATCCTTCTAAAAGTTTGCGTAAATGTATTGGTAGAGTTTGATACAAAAACAAAACAACCCAGATTTATTTGTAGATATTGATAAAGAATGTTGTCTACAATATAGGATCAAGTTAAAAAGATTAAGTTCCAAAATGTGTTTAGTCCTCTTTACATAACAGAGAATCAGGAAATATTTACAAGAGTCTATGCTGATAAGGCAACATATTTGAAACCCCCTGACATAAAGTAATCATGGAAAACTGAGAGATAAAAATCTCTACAAGGTAAGAAAATGATGAGCCACTACTACACACCATTCAAACGACTACAATTAAAAAGAAAAAAAGCACGAGAAAAAACAGGCACTCCTTAATGCTGGTACTGTGTAACTGACACATATATATTGCTGGGGGGAAGGCAAAATAACACAACCATATTGGGGGGAAATCTGGCAGTTTCTTCAAAAGCTAAAATATGCGTGTTATGATCCAGCAATCTCCCGACTAGACACTTGCCCAAGTGAAAGGAAACTCTTTTGTCCACACAAGAAACGGTATAGATCTTGTTGTCTAATCTGGAAACAACCCTCTGCTGGGATGTGAATAAGCAAAAGTAGTAGAGGAGATTCTATTCTAGATCACAGGTGGAAAAAGCACATTACAATATGGATAAATCTCAAAATGCGCCACACTAAGTCAAAGAAGCCAGATTCAGAAGGCTACATGGGATGTGATTCCACTTACATGACATTATGAGAAAA